AAATGTAGGAGCAACCTACCAGAGGTTGGTGACCAAGATGTTCAGACATCTGATTAGCAAACAGTGGAAATATACATTGATGACATGGTCGTGAAGACCAAAGAACCTGAGAATCATCTAGCCGACTTAAAGGCAGTTTTCGACATCCTTAGAACATATCGGCTTCAACTCAATGCTTCGAAATGTGAATTTGGAGTTAGGTTTGGTAAGTTCTTGGGAAACTTGGTTACCAGAAGAGGTATTGAGGCAAGCCTAAATCAAATCAAGGCTATCCTAGACTTGAAAAGCCCAACGTCGGCAAAACAAGTGCAGATGTTAACAGGAAGGGCCGCAGCCCTCAATAGGTTTATAAGTAGAAATTCAGACAAATATAAACCATTTTTTAGTTTATTAAAGAAAGCCACAGATTTTTTGTGGACAGAGGAGTGCGAAGTCGCCTTGGCCGACTTGAAAAAATACCTTACCACAGCTCCATTTCTCTCAAATCCAGTACCTAGAGAGGAGCTATTTCTATACTTGGCGGTTTCAGAGCACGCTGTGAGTGCAGTGATAATTAGAGAAGAGAAGAGAGAACAAATGGCAGTATACTATGTGAGTAAAATCCTAACAGGCGCAGAAACCAGGTTCTTACCCCTGGAGAAATTGACATTGGCCTTAGTGATGGCTTCCAAAAAGCTGAATCATTACTTCCAAGCCCACAAGATTGTGGTATTGACTGAGCATCCTTTGAAGTCCCTTTTACAACAAGGAGATTTGATAGGTAGGATAGCCAGATGGGTAGTAGTATTGGGCCAATACGACTTGGAATTTAGGCCCAGAACAACAATTAAGGGCTAGGTTTTGGCCGACTTTGTGGCCGAATTCACATCTGGTGCCATCCCACATCGGGCTTCCGTGAGCCGCGGCTTAGGGTGTCCAGGGAAACAAGAAGAGACCTAGCTGGGAATGAAAAACCCCACAGCAAAGCAGAAGAAAAAAGAGAAACTCAAGCCCTGTAATATTTACATTGGTGACTCATTCCGCTTATTTGTTGATGGGAGTTCAAATCGTCAAAGAGCAGGGGCAAGAGTAGTGCTAGTATTGCCAGATGGGCGGATGTCAGAACAATCTATTCGTTTGGGGTTTAAGCCTCAAACAATGAAGCAAAATATGAAGCACTGATCGTAGGATTGAAATTGGCAACAACAATGGAAGCCGACGAGGTGGTAGTCTTCTATGTCTCCCAACTTATTGTGAACCAGACAACAAACGAGTATGTAGCCCGAGATGAAAGAATGATAGCCTATGTAAAATAGGTTGTTAGACTGCTAGCCTTGTTTTAGGATTTCCGACGACAGCAGGTTAGCCGAGATGACAACAGCCATGTTGATGCCCTGGCTAACCTGGCTAGTGCAATGAAATCAGGGAAGGCTGGGACAATAATGGTTGATTATTTGTTTGGCCTAAGTGTGGAATCACTAATCATAGAGTATGAAGCAATGTGTGTAGAAATGGGTCCAAGTTAGATGGACACAATAATAATGTTCCTTAGAGATGGGAAGTTGAAAAGAGACACACAAGATCAGACTAAAGTTGTGCGATTTAGCCTAATAGCAGAAGGACATCTCCACAGAAGGTCTTTTACTGGTCCCATTTTGAGATGTGTGCATCCCTCCCAAGTTGAAGACTTCTTATATGAAATACATGAAGGAGTATGTGGAAGCCACGTTGGGGGCAAATAACTTGCTTATAGAGCCATTACTCAGGGGTACTAATGGCCTTACGTGCAGAAGGATATTGAAGCCTACATCAGAAAGTGTGAGAAATGTCAAAGGTTCGCACCTTTGATACATCAACTAGCAGCAGATCTGAACCCAGTATCCAGCCCTTGGCCATTTGCCTAGTGGGGCATGGATCTTATTGGACAACTACCCCAAGCAACTAGGCAAATGAAATTTCTGCTTGTAGCAACTAATTACTTCACAAAGAGGGTAGAAGCTTAACCCCTTGCGAAGATTCGAGATATTGATGTAAAGAACTTCATTACCAGGTTTGGGATCCCAAGGGCAGTAATAACAAACAATAGTATGCAATTTCACAGTAAGCTAATCAAAGGCTTTTGTGCAAAGTACAAAATCAAGAACTACTACTCTACTCCAAGCTTCTTTCAAAGCAATGATCAGACAGAAGCATCAAACAAGACTATCTTGGATGGGATCAAAAAGAGACTGGAAGTAGCAAAGGAAAAATAGGTGGAAGAATTGCCCAATGTACTATGGGCATATCGGACTACGTCGAGAAGATCAACTGGGGAGTCTCCATTTGCCATGACTTATGGCACTGAAGCAGTTATCCCACTAGAAGTCGGCATTCTATGGATCAGAACCCAGGGAGTGGAAAATGGTACTAATGAGGCATTTCTAGCCCGAGATCTAGACCTACTAGAGAAAAAAGGAGAGAGAGCAGCAATTCGGCTGGAGGCATACCAATAACAACTTACTAAGGCTTACAACAAGAAGGTTAACCAAAGAGAGTTCAAAGTCGGGAACATTGTGCTAAAAAAAGTGGTCGGCAACAAGAAGGATCCTAGGGAGGGCAAGCTATGTCCAAATTGGGAGGGACCTTATAGAATCATCTCGGTCGCCAGCAATGGGGTATATCGGCTTGAGGACAGTGATGGCAAAGAGTTGCCAAGACCTTAGAACACTTGCAACTAAAAGTTTTTCTATCATTAGATTTTTGTTTATGTCATTAGCCAAAGTAACAATAAAATTTTAGCGTGATTTTTAGTTTGAAATTTGTGTGATTAAACTGACCAGTCCTGTGGCGATGTTTCTGACTAAAATATGATGAATAACTTAGACTTATTATATGACAGAGTTGAATTATACTTGCATATAATAAAGTTGAACTAAGTTGACGATGTTTTTGATTGAAACATGACGAATAACTTAAACTTATTATATGGCAGAGTTGAATTATACTTGTATATAATAGAGCTGAACTAAGTTGGCGATATTTCTGATTGAAACATGACGAATAACTTAGACTTATCATATGACATAGTTGAATTATACTTGTATATGATAGAGTTGAACTAAGTTGAAATAACCTAGACTTGCTATGTTGGCAGAGTTAAACTTAAAATGGAAGCAAGTGTACTTAAATCAAATTAACATAGAAGCCAAGGTTGAAACACCTCGCCTAGTCTTTGTTTGAATCTGACTTCGGCGATAGACTATAAACGCTTAATGTGAACTTAAGTGGAACTTAGATTCACATTAGGGGGCAGAGAGCTGGAGAATGATAAATAAACTTAAGAGTTTGGGTTTTGTTGAAATTTTCAAAAAAATTTACAAGTTTCAATGGGCTGAACACTTATTGAAATTTCGGAGAAATTTACAGGTTGTAGTTGGCTGAGGTAACTATGTCCGAGATATATATTATCCGAGGTGACCAACTAGGTTGTCAAAACTTGGAAATGGTAAAGTCTTAAAAGAACATAACATATGGAGATACAAAAGAAATACTGAATAACACTTGCAAAAATATTTTTGATATTTTTGAGTGTTAGCCGAGGTGTGCTAATGGTTGGCCGAGGCAAACAGTCAAGGTTTGTATTTGAGATATTATACCCAAGAGTTATTATACAGTTAAAGGTATACTTTGAAGAAATGCAAAAATATTCTAAGTATGGAAGCGTGAAAGGCATGAAAGAAAGCAATAAAGCATACATGAAACAAACATTCAACACTCAGAAGAAAAGAGAAGACTTGCATTCAAAAAAATGCACTTTGGCCTGTCAAAAGACAACTTGTTCGAGGTACAAAAGAGGGCACATCGGCCAAATTAAAGCCAACATTGCTCAAAAATAAGAAGGAAAAGTACAAAACAAAGAAGAAATATCCTAAGCGTTAGGATTGGTCTGGGATTGATCAACCTTGGCTAAGGGAGTCTTGTCGACCTCGGTTGGTAGCATTTTATTTTTCTCCGCCGCTACTTCGGCAACTATTTCGAGTAGAGTCTGGTCCAAACTCCTTTCGGTGCACTGGACCTCGGCCTCAGAGGTGGTTGGTTTGGGAGAGACATCTTTGGAAACCAAGTCATCCTCCTCATCTTGAGTCAAGTCTTGGACTTGTTCATTTAGGGTGGGGGACTTGGCGTCAGTGACAGCTTCCTCCTTCTCTTCGTCAGCATCACCATCCTCGGTATTATCATCGTCGGCTTCTTCGCTAGAGTCCTTGGGCTTTGGAGGGAAAGACATTTGAAGTTGATTGATATCTCAGAGGTCGGAGTCCATTGGGATAGATAACTTGTTTAGCGCCGCCATCTAATCAAGGTAATAACCTCGGTTGCAAGCCAGGTTGACTTGCCCTTTGTATTGATCTCAAACGGGGGCTTGCCCTTCTTCAAAAGCTTTCTCATCAGCTGCCTTGACCTCGGCCTCCTTTGAGTCAAGGGCCTCATGAAGCTTAGCCTCTCAATCAGCTGCCTTGGCCTTGGCAGCCTCAAGATCGGCTCTGGCGGCCTCAGCTTTAGTATCGACCTTTTTTGCTTTTTCTTCGGCCAAATCTTGAGCAGCTTTGGAAGCCTTGGCTTGATCCAGCAGAGCTCGATTGTTGGTTTCGGTATGATTGAGTGAGGTGAGGAGTTTGACAACTTCCTTAGTCTTCCTTGCCAACTCCTTCCTTGTCATCTCAGTCTTGACCGCGTATGAATGAGCATGCTGGATAGCTTGCAAGAAGTAAAATAGATTAGTGAAATTTGACTAAGTATAGAAACACTATAAAAGAGTAAATAAAGAGGATTACCAAGACTGAGTGCTGCATCATGAGGCCAAAGTTTTCATACACATGGAGGGCGGCCATGTGATTCATATCCTCGGGTAAAAGCGCAGTCGTTGACAGGGCAGCATCGACCTTGACGTCATTAATTGCGCTGTCGCCAGCTGTCAAGGGTCTGTCTCCCACCATGACTTCTGGAGCCCAAGTCATATTGCGCAGAAAGCTGCGACCCTCAGGTTAATCAGACCTCGGCCTTTTAGATGGTTGGCAATCTGATGCATCAGCCTCGGCTAGCCTTTTCTCGGCAGGAATTTGGTTCTTCTCGACCTCAGCTAATTTTGAGATTGGCACAGTGTCCTTAGAGTCAATTTGAGTCACTGTGGCCTTAGTCTTGGCCTTCTTCACTCTTTTCGGCTTTGGCTTTGATTGGGACGAAGAAGATGAGGATTGCACCATCATAACCCCGGGGATATTGGCAAGGAGATCCTCAACGATGGCTGGTTTACGTCCTATTTTGTCGGCAGTGGAAGCAACAGTTACTTTGGTGCCGAAGTGTATTGCTGGAAGGGTGATTGGGGGATTGGCTGGGTTGTAAGCCAATGCCTCAGAATCTCGGCGTTTACGACTGCGAGTTCTACCGGCAGGAGCGAAAATTGGAGCTTGGCATCGGTGTTGGCGCTGGGATGGAAGAATTAGTTAAGGGACAGAAGTAGATGGTTGCTCAGCTGAGTCAAAAGTGGAGGCCTGATCTGGCCTTGGAGATGAAGTCGTTAGTGGAGTTCTGGTAGAAGGAGGAGTCTTGCTTCGATACGGAATATCTTGTAGGGCCGACTTATAGGTCGGAATATAGTCTAGCAGTAGCGGGGCCTTGCGTTTTTCAACTGGCAAGTTCAATAACCCTTTAAGGTCTTTAATGGAGAATAAGGTTTTGCGAAAATCTTTTGATGGCTAGGGAAGAGCTGCAGAAACAAAGGAGCAAACATTAATACCAGCATATAAGTTCGATAATTCTTAAACTAAGGTAGAATTGTGGATGACTCAGTTCTTACCATCACCCTCCTTAAACACTCCTCGGCACAGTGGGAAGAGATGAAGATCGTCATCTGGTGCAAACTCTTAGTTGCCTGAGACAATTAGATAGTCATTTTTCTGCACCCTTGTTTGAATCTGGGAGATCGGCTATAAGTTTATAAGCGGTGGATCGGCGTTTGAGGTATATAAAGGCTACCATTGGGAAGGGCATGGAATCTCGATCAGGCATGATAGAGTCCTCATCCACAACCAACTTGAGGTGAACATCGGCTGGGATGGAGAACTCTCGACGGAAATACTCTATTTTTTTCTAGTGTATCTACTCTCCACCTAAACATATCCATGATGTCGACTGATAAAGATTAGGGCAAAGTTTCAGAAAGGAATGTTTGGTGTGGGTTTAAAGACCTCGGCTAAAACCCTAATCTGGCAGCTTCTAGGGTTTTTTTGGATCTAAGGGGGGGTTTTGGTTCAGTTTTTCCTAAATATGTGATTTCTTTATCAAATCCCCAGCCTAAATTTATATGGAAACAAGAATCAATGGCAAGAATCTGGAAACAAGTCAAAGAAAAACAGAAAAGGGCAAGATTCAGAGCCAAGAAAGCAACATTTTTTCAAGAAACACTGAGTGGGTGTGTGCGAATGTGCAAGGACCAAAAGCAGTGATAAACTTTGTTAAAACTTCAAATTTGTGAACCATATGAAGCGTGTGTGCAAGAATCACTAATTAGTGTGTATAGACACAAGTATATATCAAAACAGTAACGAATCATAAGCCAATGCAATAACGAAGCTTAAGGAATGACAAAAGTATAAAGAGACGGGAAACTGATTCATAATCAAAGAAGAAACAGAGTACAACCACAGTAATAGAATAGTCATAAAGCAAAGAAGGAACATATTCAGACTAGTGGAAAGCTAAGAATAAAGAAATTAAGAACTTACCAAATAGGGCCGAGGAACCGTGGTCGGAGTAATGATTGCCGGAGTAAGATGGCAGTAAACACTGGAGCGGAACAGTGAAAAGAATGCCGGAGGAGACGGTCGGAGAAGTTACAGAAAGCTCGAAGAAGCAGCAATGGTGGTTTGAGGGTTTTTCTTTGCTTTAGAGAGAGAAAGTTTGAGCAAAAACGAAGGAATGAAAAGTGAAACGACAGAGTGCGAGAAATTATTTTTGTTAAAAATTTGAAAGGGCGGCAAACCATAATGGAATACGTTGGACGACATGTCTATCAGGCGGTGTGTGCAGAAGCGACGCGACATGATGGCGCGTGTTTGGTACGAACTAATGAGACAAGGACACGTGGCAGAAATGGTTGAGAAAACAATACGTGATAGCTCATACGCAGACAAAACTTTTGGGGTTCTTGATTTAATGGAGCAAAAACCTCAGCTAGGGGAATGATCTTGGTCATTGATAAGGTAGACTGCAGAGTCTTGGTCATGTGAAGCCGAAGGCTGATGATTTCGGTCATGAAGAATAGAGTAAGTCTTAGCCGACCTTTTATGTGGACAAACGATGTGGGTTCCATCACCTCAAAATGTTAAGGTAATAGAACTTAGGGGGCAGTTGTAGGGATGTATTTTGTGAAATAACAGCACGTGGCCAAGGTGATACCGAAGTGTCAACCGAGGTGCCACGTGTGGTCATGACGCTGAGGTGATCTCGACTAGGCCGAAGTTATCTGCGGAGATACCGAAATCTGAGACGAACGAATAGGGAACAGGAGTCCTAAAACTGGGGAGGACCTTAGTCTGGATAAAGATATAGCTCTTAGGGAGTTTATCTCTATCTAGCTGGGAGTCTAAGATGAGCATTGAGCCAAAATCCATTGAAGCTAGGCTTCTACAGGGATCGGGTTAGTGCTAGCTATAAAAGCAGGGCACCCTTGTGGGTCTAAGGTATGTTTTTTATGCTCTATCTAGTGAGTTAAGAACTATTGGTTATCTTTGAGAGATAATTACTGACTTGATCGTCAGAGTGCTACCGGGTGGACAAACCACCGCTGGACTCTTATCTTTTTGTGACAGGTTGTTCGGGCTTAATCTATTCTGCCAGTGCTCTCCTGCTGAGTATTCCCTGTTTGGTTGTGTGGTCAAAAATCAACACCCACATCAAATATTTATAACTTCATAACAAGATTAAATTTTATTTTAAAAAAATAAAAATTAAACAGCTATAATTATTATAATAATGTTTTTAAAAAACAATTAGTCTCGAACCATAGAACTATGCAGTTCTGATTAATTTAATTTTTTATATAGCTAACATAATTAACAAACTTTATAATATGAACTGTTTAAATTATCAAAATAGATTCAAAATAAGCCCTACAGACAACAGTTACAACTGTGGCTAATGTCATAGCAAGGTTCCGAATACTTGCCCAAGCCTCTTCCATACTTTACATTTTATATATTTATTTATTTATTTTTTACACAATTCTTAAAATATACTCTATGATTACTTGATATATATAAAATAAGAATTGCATAAAAATATGAAAAGCGTACAAAGATTATAATATTTTGATTTATTTTTAGGTGAATAACAACCTATAAATTATCATGATAATAGAAATTTAAAAAAAATATAGTAAAAAAATTATTTTTTTAAAAAAATATTTTTTGTCATTTACCAAATAGAAGTTAAATAATAAGAGAAATATCTTGAAAGTTGACTATAATTTATACTAACTTTTAGTAATTTTTTTATTTTTACGAAAAGATGTACAAAAAATATGATAACTTAGAGTGGCTTTTAAGTTTTGGCTAAAATTTCAAGTTGTCAAACGAGGCTTAAGAACATCTCTAATCTACTTTTTGAAAATACTAGTTAAAGCACACGTGCAACACACGTGGCTATTTTGGTCCAACTTATTTTTTCACCAATTGTAGCAGGTAGTGTTTATGGATTTAAGCAAAATTTTGAGAATATTTGATATCAACTTCTATAAGGTACTATTTGCATGTATATTATTTGAAAATGAAATTAAAGTTAGGTAAAGTAAAAAATATAAATTAATGTGTGAATTAACTTATGTGCACTTGTTTACATTACATAATCAAACTATAGGCATAAACTGCATACAATTTGGACATAAACATCTAAAAATGTATATTTAAACATAGTATGAGATTGTGTGTCATAACCATTAAATCAATCAATCAAATATATATGGGGGTATTTTTTTTAACTAATTGATAAAAAAAATATAAATGTAGAAAAAAAAAACTAAAGAAGTTATCAAAATTTAAAGCCGTTACACAAGAAAAATTTAGAAACTATAAAAAATATGACAAAGTTCACACCATATCGAGTTGTATTCTTTATATATAAAGTTCCACATTATGTAGGTCTCACTGCTTGTAAGATATCTTCATCTCATTTTGTATTTGGTACTTTATACATTTAGACTTATTAGGATAATTTTATTTGTACCTAAAAAATCATCACTACAACAAAAAGCACTTTTGGCGACTAAAACTGCATTTTTCGTCGCTGAAAGTAGTAGAATTGGCGACTAAAATGGAATTAGTCGTCAAAATTGATCACTTTTTGCCGACTAAAAGAGTTTAGTCGCCAAATATAAGGGTTTTAGCGACTAAAAGGCAGTTTAGTCGTGGAATGTAGGGGTTTTAGCAACTAAAGGTTGTTTAGTAGCCAAAAGTCACGATTTTTGGTGACTAAAATGATTTAGTAGCCAAAAGTGATGGTTTTAGCGACTAAAAAACAGTTTCGTTGCCGATTACAGGTGTTTTGCCGACTAAAAATTGTTTGGTCGCTGAAAGTGAAGCTTTTTGGCTACAAAAAAAAAGTTAGTAGCTAAAAACAGTCAATTGCCGACTAAAATTTAGTTTAGTAGCCAAAAGGGGACGTTTTTGGCGACTAAAAACAGTTTTAGTCGCCAAAACTGCTTATTTTTAGGCGGAACTTAATTTAATTTAGTCGCCAAAAGTGGCCTAAATATTTTTTTAGTAAATAATTTATTTTTTACATAAATTATATTGAATTAAAATAATTATATTTATATATATTGTTTTGTATTAATACCGGTCAATATACTATATAAATAATATATATTGTATATATATTCATGTGATATTATAGTGGCATAGTGGGGGGAGTGTGTTGCAAAAAAGTTTGGAATGTGGGACGGTTGGTGCGGTTCGAAACTCAGAAAAGCAAAAAAAGTTGGTTTTTTTTTTTTTTGACGGAAACACCTTTGGCGACTAAAATTATTAGTCGCCAAAAGTCTTTATTTTGGCAACTAAGCCGTTTAGTCGGCGATTCAGTGAGTATTGGTGACTAAATTATTAGTCGGTAAATGTATGATTTTCAAAAGTGTAGAACACTATTGGCGACTAACACTTTGGTCGCTAAAGACCTGTATTTTGGCGACTAAAAAATTATTAGTCGCCAATACCTACGCCGACTACGTATACGCAACAAATGTGGCGACTAAAAATCAACTTTCGCCAAAAGTGTTTTTTCTTGTTGTGCATTAAGCACGTCCAGTTTTTCAATACACTTCCATTAAATTATTTAGAATTATAATTTACTCTCAATACACCCTGTGTTTTGTTGGTATTTTTTCATAATAATATTAGGAAAATATATAAAATTAAATTAAATAGAAATGACAAAACAATTATTATTATTTTTATATTATAGAATGAAATACAGAATAAATTACAAAACTAAAAAAACACTAGAATGAAGTAGATTACGTCATGGAACATATTAGAAGATGGTTCATATGGACATATAAAATAATATACGAGAAATAGTTTAAATTTAAAATTTTGAAGAACAAAGATAAAATATGCAAATCGAAACCTGTGTGATACCACAATTTCCTTAAAACAAATTCACCGTCTCTCGATGGGTGTTGGAGGTACGCTGATATTTCCCAAGATACAACAGTCGAAATCAGCTAGAGTAGAAACACCTTCTGAATAGTTTCGGCGAATTTGACAATGACAACACTCTCTTTCTCCAAAAAAAACCAAAGAAGGGGTTAATAAAAAGAAGATAGGAAAAAAAAAAATTTTTGATATAAAAATCATCTTCAACTTTATTATCTCAAAGCACCATCTCATTTTCCATCACAAAAAACCTCTCTAAAAACAATCTACTAAGTTAGAGGGAAAATGTCTTTATTTATACTAGTAGGGGAGAACTTTAGCCTTGAAGGCTAACATCAACAAGGTCATCAAATGTCAAACACTCTAGCTATTAGGGCTAGAGTTACAAAGGTTCAAAACTCTAAAACATTATATAAATCATAATGTGTATATAATACATAAGTTTTGAGAATTAAATTAGATAAGTTGCAAAATGGATATAGGTGTAGGTCACAACCTGATCCAAATCCAATCTCAAATACATGCACAAGCTAAGCTGAAAACAGCCCTTCCAACCCAAGCTTAAGATTAAGTCCAAGTCCAAGTCTAAGACCAAACCCAACACATATACAAGCACAAGCCTAGGCCTAGGCCTAGTCTAAACTAAGATTAAGTCTAAATTTAAGCCTAACTTTTATTGATACCCACTTGATGAGACAATTTTCATTCATAACTTAATGGTTTCTGCTCATTATTTTTGTATTGCAACATTCTCACTTAAAAGAATACAAAACTACTCGAACCTAACTCAACTGGCAGTTGGGTCTCACTTTAATTTCGAATTAAAGTTTTCGAAAAATCGTTATTTTTCAACAAATTTTTTTCCCCAAATTATCCATCAATGTACATCCAAATCTCAAATTATACCATTTTGAAAAATTCTTTCAAGAATCTTCAAATAGATTTCTCATTACAGTTATTCATTTCGGATTTATTACTCTCTACCTGTTTTCTTCTTCTTCTATTCCACGGCTACCCTAAAACTTCTTGTAGTGATTGTTGTTTGTGTTGTTGCTTGGAGTGTGGAAGAAGATGAGAAAATAATTGAAATTTGGAAAAGATGAAGAGAGTTGAATATGAAGAATACGTATAAGTGATTTGGGGGTACCATGAGAAAAAAAAATATTTTATTTTAGGATTTAATATGTATTGTCGTTATTAATAAATTTATATTAGGGTATAATAGGAATTAAAATTTTAAATTTTAATTGGATGTACTGACCTATTATTTGAGTTCAAATAAAATCACCTGACTTATTGTTATATAAAATATGAAGAAATTGAAAACAATTTCTAAAACAAATCAACAAGACTTTTGGAATCATAAACAAAATAATGCATACCGTTTGTTGAACAAAATTTATTTATTTTAGAATAAAAACTTTAAGATAGAGTTCTAACTTAATAAGAAATTTCAAGAAATTGATTTTTTTTGTTAAAATTATAATAATCTTAACCCAAAGAAAAACAATCCAACTATAACTACCTTCAACACAAAATAAAATTAAAAAAAATATATTTCCGTCAAAGTTTCAAATGAACAAGAATTTCATGGTTTGACGTAACTTTAATCTCTATAATGTGATAATGAATTGATGAAATTAAAGTGAAACACAATTCAAATAGATTGAGTCTTGATAAATTAAAATTGAAAGTTAAATAAGGTTTAAGAGAAGTTAAAAGACACACCCAGAATTTTTATTTATAAACGTGAATGTATGATTCAGATTTGTTCTAATTCTACATATGAAAAAGTCTAGTTATTATGAAATTTTGCCAAAAAAATTGTCATGAATCAAGAAGTATTGTTGAGATTTAATTAGCGTATTATGAGATATACATGTAGAATGAATCCAAAGCAAGAAAATTGTAATGGATGAAGAAGTGTGGTTGAGATTCAATTAGTGTATGGTGGATCCACATGTAAAATGAATTTGAACTACACGTTATTATTTTTATATAAAATTCTAAATACAATTCTGGATATAATACTGATTTATATCAAGAAAAAGTTTACAAGGAATAACTTTCATATATCATCAAACCCTACCCTTTAATGGCTTCGTTAGGACTCCATTCTTCCCATTGCTATTGCTACCAGTATAATATAATAACATAATATAATTTTTAATCTAAATACATTTAGAAACTAGTTTATTTGATTAATTTTTTTTTAAAATTTAATGTTAAGTATTATTATATTTTAAATACAAGAAAATATCAAGAAAATATGAAAAATTAGAGCATGTCTATATTTATTTGTATTTAGTAATTTTTTTTACAAATATTTTACTTTTTAATTATACTTGGATTGAATATACATCTAAAAAATATTTTATATATAATATGAAGAAATTTACCATCACTAATCACTAAGGTTGAAAAAATATGAAATGAAAATCAATCAAAATTATGAAAAACCCAAATTTGAAAACTAGTTTTCAAAAATTAAACCAAAGAAAGTGGTTGTTTTTTAGAATTTTAATAGTATATGTGGATTATTAAAGCATCATGCAAAATAATATAATTATAAAAATCTAAACAAAGAGAAAGTGTACAACAATAACCTACGAATTCTTGAGATGCAGCACAAAATGGGATGTGTCTTCCTCTATATAGATTCAAATAGATGCATACAATTCTAAGATTTAACCCAAAATATTCACATCATTTTTATGTAGATTCAAACAAATGAATACAATTCTAAGATTCAACCCAAAATATTCACAACGGTCTAATTCATGATGGATAGTTGTAAATAATATGTACAACAATATGGAAGTAAATAGAAGAAATAAGAAAGATTTTATAGTTCTTTTTTTTTTTTTTTTAACACAAGAAAGATAGAAACGGAGCAGCAACAAGAAGAGACAAGTTAAGAGGCATTCAGCAAGAGCTCCAAGGCAGCTGGTGGCTGACCCACCCAGTTAAGAGGAAGTCAACCGTAGAGGGAAGCTTGGGCCACCCAATGCGCGGCTTTGTTGGCTGAGCGAGGACTCCAATGAAAGGAGAAGTGCCCCTAAGTCGCCAATCTCTTGATATCCTTGAAGATGGCTCCACACTCCCACGGCGGGGCGTCTTCGGAAACACACAAACTGATAACATCTTTGTTGTCCCCTTCGATCTCTACCGAGTTCAGGTTACAAGCCACTGCTAATTGACATGCACTCCTGCAAGCTAAAGCTTCGTCTTGCAAAGAGGAACTGACCCTCCAGCTTTGCGTATGTCCATCAATCAAATTACCCCTATCATCTCGCAGAAGTACTGCAGTTGAAGCCGAATGAGAACCCTTTTTGATAGCCACATACAATTAATTTTGAAGGACCCGGTGCTGGGGGCTTGCCAGTCGGCCACCCTTGGAAGACAATCCAGCAGACTTTGGTGTTGCCTCACAGCCCCAGGAGCAGTAGCTGAGTCGAACTCCTCCTTCACCACTCGAGCTCGATATAACGTCGAGGAGGGCTCTATAGGATGATGGTTGAAAACCAAGTTGTTTCGGGCTTTCCAAATATACCACCCAATCCACACAACAAAGATAAGAAGATTTTCCCACTCATGAACAGAATGAAGTTGTTCTAACAGATTACAGGAGCAACGTAGAACCGAGCAGCTAGGACCTTCAACAATAGGAAACTTGAGATCACAGCCAAACCAAACTGCTCGGACCCAATCACAACCAAAAAGAAGATGTTCTATAGTTTCAGGAAACTCTTGGCAAATCGGGCAAAGATTCGAAGGAGCACACCGCCTCCGATACAAATTTACTTTAGTAGCGAGCCCATTCTTGCACACCCACCACCAAAAATTTTTGAGTTTCGGAGGAACCTTTAAAGCCCACAACAACTTCCAAAAATTTTTAGGAGGCTGGAAAGAGGAAGAAGGAGGGGAAGAAATACCCCTGCTCACTTTAGTCAAAGCTGTGGAATTACCTGATCGCACCGAATACTCGCCTTTGGCCTCAAAATGCCAAACAAGGGAGTCAGCTGAGTTGTCCATAGCAATTGGGATTAATCTAATAGCTTCGACTTCGACTTCAGACACCAGGTTTGTCAAAGATTCAATCCTCCAGCTCGTTGAGTGGGCATCAATAACATCCTGAACATGTTGAATCCCAGACTCCGTAGGTTTCGATGAGAGAACTTTGAACCCAGGAATTGAAGGAATCCATTTGTCATCCCAGAAATTGATGGCAGCTCCATCGTTCACTTGCCAATGAACACCCTCTTGAAGCAGTTGCCGGCCCTAGATTAGACTTGCCCAAGCCCACAACGCTCTCCTTCCTCTAGCAGTGTGCAAAAAGGAGGAGTTGGGGAAATAAATGGCTTTCAGCAGATTAGACTTGCCCATACCCACAACGCTCTCCTTCCTCTGGCAGCGTGCAAGAAGGAGGAGTTGGGGAAATAAATGGCTTTCAGCAGACGAGCACAAAACGAGTTTGGATACTTCAATAAACGCTAACCTTGCCGAGCTAAGAGAGCCAAATTGAAAGAATTAAAGTCTCTAAAACCCATACCTCCTTGATGATTCGGCAAAGTCATATGACCCCAATTCAACCAATTAATCCCCTTCCCTTCTGGATCTCCTCTCCACCAAAAATTTCGAATGTAAGCATTAAGTTTGTCACAGAATTTTTTAGGAAAGGCAAAGCACGCCATGGCATAAGATGGGATGGCCTGAACCACCGCCTTAATCAAGATCTCCTTCCCAGCTTGGGACAACAAATTTTGTTTCCAACCTTGCAATTTGGACAGGATCCGCTCAATAAGATACTCATAGGCTTCCGCTTTAGATCGCCCCCAAAAAGATGGCAAGCCTAAGGACTTCGAATTAGGATGAGACACACTTAGGCCAGCTGCATTGCAGATAGAGGAGCTAACAGTGGCAGGAGTGTTGGCTGAAAACTGGACACTAGATTTCTCAAAATTTACCAACTGACCCGAGGCTTCGCAGTAGATCTTGAGAATAGCTAGCATATGAGTACATTCTTCAACATTTGCTTTAAGAAAAAGGAGTACATCATCCGCAAAAAAAAGGTGGGACAAGGTAGGGCAGTGCCTAGCTAACTTAAAACCCGAGAGCAAGTTATTACGAAGACTTCGAGTTAAAAGTTTGGAGAGCACATCGGCCACCAAAATAAACAGGTACGAGGATAAAGGGTCACCTTGACGAAGTCCACGAGTTGGAATTATAGAAGCCCGTTTTTCACCATTTGCAAAAATTGAGAAAGTGACCGTAGTCACACACTCCATGACCCACCGAATCCAAACAGTATGAAATCCCATCTTTTGCAGGAGTGTAGACAGGAAATCCCATTCAACACGGTCATAGGCTTTGTTGAAATCAAGTTTGACGGCCATGTGTCCTAACGACCCTTTCTTTTGTAGCTTCAAAAAATGGAAAGCCTCATGGGCTACAATGATGTTATCTTGAATCAAGCGTCCGGGAACAAAAGCAGATTGGTTCGGAGAGATAAGACCCTTCAGAATTTTTTTCAGTCTATTAGCCAGGATTTTTGTAATGATCTTCATGCTAAAATTACACAAACTGATAGGGCGAAAATGAGACAATTTGACCGGGTTAGCAACTTTAGGGAGAAGGACTAAATTTGCTTGATTAAGTTCCTTGAGCAAATGACCTCCCAAAAAGAAACTTTTCACCGCTTTGCACACCTGATCGCCCATAGTATCCCAATATGTCTGATAGAAAAAACCTGGAAAACCATCTGGCCCGGGCGATTTGAGGGCTCCAAGCTGAAAAATAGCCCCTTTAATTTCTTCATCACAGATTGAGGCAGTCAATTGGCAATTCATGACATCCGAAATTACTGGCTCAACCACCGATAAGGCCTCCCCAAAATCTCTCTGGCCAACACTAGTGAAAAGATTGGTGAAAAAACCATACATATGATGATTAACCTCAGTGTCTGAAGAAAGCCAAGTCCCATCCTCTGTTTGAAGGTGAAGAATCTGATTCCTCTACCTTCGTTGAATCATAGATGCATGAAAAAAATTAGTGTTCTTATCCCCAAAATTAAGCCAACGTATTCGGGATCATTGGTGATAGAACATTTCCTCCCTCGCAAGAAGCACTTCAAGATTAGCTTTTACATGCATCTGACTCCTCAAAATGTCATCCGAAAATGATTGTGCTTGAAGAGTTTCCAATTCCGACTTTAGGCGAGAAATTTGGATTTGATTGTTGCCAAAGTGTTCTTTACTCCAAGCTTTAAGACTTGTCCTGCACAGTTTAAGCTTCTGGAGTTGTTGGTACATAGGGGACCCTGTATGAGGTTCAGCCCACTTGGTACGAATCACTTCTTCACATAAAGGGCTAGTAGACCACATTGTCTTAAACTTAAAAATCCTGGGAACTCTTTTAAGAGGAACACAACAATTAAGAACTACAGGGCAATGATCAGACCCAATTTGAAGCTCATGAAACACTTGGGCGCAAGGAAAAAGAGTTCTCCACTCTACATTCGCAACAGCTTGATCTAATCTCTCTCACATTATGAACCCCTTGCTGATTATTCGACCAAGTAAAAGGGCAGCCCTTAAATTCCAAATCCAAAAGAGCACAATCAGATAACAGTTCTAGGAAAAATTGAAGTTGGGTCATTCGGCATTCGGTTCCCCCTTCTTTCTCTTCAATCAGGCCAATCTCATTAAAATCACCAATGCAAACCAAAGGATAGTTGTTAGCTAGAGCCATCTGTTTAAACTGAACCCAGAAGTTTCTGCGGAGTGACCTTTGCGGAGGAGCATACACAAACGAGATTGCCCAGGAAGATGAAAAACTAGAAGTAGAAATGACTGCTCTAATCATGTTCCTCAATTTGTGCCTAACATCGAGCTGAATAGCATCCATCCACCATAGAGATAACCCCCCCTGAAAGACCTTCCGGTTCGACATAACAATGATTTGGGAAGTGGAGACGTCTCCGAATCCTCTCCAAAGACACGGATTTATTCTTAGTTTCCATTAGAAAGACCACTTTGGGACGATGGGTTGAAACCAGCCCTTAGAGGATCTGGACTGTCAGCGGTCGCCCCAACCCCTGACAGTTCCAGCTCAAAATCAGCATGATGATTGGGGCTGTTTAAGGCCAGCCGCCAAAGCCCATTCACCCACAGCATCAGCATTAGCAAGAGGATATGCACTAGGAACTTGTGAACAACATTCATCAACCTCTGAAGATGAATAGGCTGTCAAACGGGATAGAAGAGAAGACTCTGCTGTGACCACTTTAACTTCATATAAGTCACCTTGTAACCCTTTTTTGGCTTTACATGTTCTCCTCTTTCCCCGACCTCTAACAAGAGATGAACTCTGAGCGCAAATTGATAAGGAAGAATGAGATACAGAAAGAGCCCCAGGTGTAAAAGCATCAGTGGGAACCTCAGAGCCTTTGAGCAATTTAGGCAGTCTACCCACACACTCAATCTCCTCCTGGGCCTTACGTTTTAAAGTTAGACTATTAAAGACAGTAGCCATACACTCATCAATCACTATAGTCTTCAAATCAGTGTTGGTTGGGCTTGAGGAAGGACTAAGCTCTTCAATCCCGATTGGGCTGGAGCTGGTTGGAATCAAGGCTGTCTTATGGGTTGGGCATAGTGGAAGCTCAATTGGCTCAGTAACAAAATAATGGGGCCCACTAGGGGCATTGGGCTCCCCTTGGCTATTACTTGCTTCGTTTGGAGGAGGTTCCTTCAGACCCGACCCAGAAGGAATAGGATTGTCATTACCTATAGGATAATGTGCATCTATATTCTGCATAGCACGCCCTTGAGCATCCGAAAAGTCCGAATTCTTGAGCACCTCTGTAGTGTCCTTCTCACGCCCCCACGTCTCCACGATCTCTACACTTGTACCAGGGATGTGCTCTGTCAATTGTACAGGTTTACCACGTACTCGTCCTGCACCAGACTGGCCAACCTCGTCCTCACCACCTTCTAAACCACGCGCCATCGTCGGTGCCCTCGGAGCGGACATCCCAGCAGGCTGTTCGCTAAACCGATTCAATAGAGGTCTGAGCCTAATATCCATCTCATCCACACGTTGTTTGTAGTACTCCACCGGTAGTCCAGTGCTCTGGGCTATACCAGTCCGCAAATCCGGCCCATACCCAGACCTCATTCCTTCCTCTCGAGTGACAAATTTGCAAGCCTTCCTATCATGGCCAATTCTCCCACAATCAAAACAAAAATCAGACAACTTTTCAAACTTGAAAGACATCTTGGGGTTGGAGGAGACCGCTTGAAGAGAAACATTATGCTGGAGAAAAAATCCACGAGGGAGGGGTTTGGAGATATCGAGTTCCACACGGATTCGGAGAAAATTGCGATAGAGCAACAGACCTTCATATTGTGCTTCGACCCGAATAAGGCGACCAATCCGGTTACCAATCAACTCCCCATTTGCCTTGGTCAGTTTCTCGGGAGGGAGGCCATGAACTTGAACCCAAAAAGGGCTCCACAGAAATTCCAAAGCAGTAACCGGAGTTCCTTTCTGCAAGGGTTGGAGAATCAGCAGGTTGCCCATGATAGACCACGGTGCCTCTTGAAGCACCCACAGTCGATCCTCTGCGTCCTCGAAAGTGAAGAGGAAAAGATTGTCATTCCACGGTGCGATTGAAAAGGAGGCTCTCGTCTTCCAAGCTCCTTTGACAATGGACGAGACAGTTGGGATGTTGAGCTGCTTTGGAGCGAGAATCTTCCCTATCAGGCAACGGTGAGACACTACATCACTACAGCCAACTCCATCTTCAAGTGTAATGAAATCCAGACCTGGGGCAGAGTTTGACGTACCCATCTTCGCAACGCAAACAGAGGACACAAAACTGTAAGGTGGAAAATAGGGCAGGATATGGTGGAAGGAGAAAACAGAGAGGGGGAAAGAGGTGTAGAGACGGAACAACAAACCCAAACACCGAATCAGTCGAAGCTCCGTAAGGGAACTCAGAAAGAGGGAAAAAAAATAGAAAGGAAAGATGTACACAAGACAGTGGAAAAACCAGAGAGAAGAACTAGGATAAAGACCTAGAACAACCTACCTAAGGTAGAGAGCCTTCCATTCTAGAGAGAGTATAAGGCATCAATCTCGAGGGTATTTGTAGAAAGATTTTATAGTTCAATCATCAATTTGAAAAAGGAAAATGCGGGGCACCCCCAGTACGGGGCGACCCCCAATGACCCCCAGCCCACGTGGCTGTGGGTGATTGGTCAGAAAGGAAAAAAAAAAAAAAAAGAAAATTGGCGAATGGCGTTTCGCCACGTCACTGGGGGTCGAACCCCAGTGGGGGTCTGTAGCAGGATTGTTTGAAAAATAGGGACACAGATTTGTTATAGGACGTTCAATCATCAATTTGAAAAATAGGGACACAGACTTGTTATAGGACTTTTGAAAGGAGGGGAATAAGAAATTAATCATTTTTTAATGTTAAATAAATAAATAAATATTAATGTTAATGTTAAGAGAAAAAAAAAAAAAAAGAAAGTTGATTTATATATGACTCTTCATGACTTTTATGGTAGATTTGAGAGAGTAAATTGAGATTTAAAAAAAGTAGTAAACATGGCAGCCTCTTCACACTTTTATAATAATAGTAGATTGCTGTATAGAAGTTAAAGTAGATTGATGTATAGGAGTTGTTTTTTTGTTGTTTTGGTTCTTATAGTGTAAAACATGGGTGGCATCGCCTTGACAGTATATGAATCTAGTTGTGTTCTGGTGTCCTTGGACATAAAAGGTTTGATGAACTTGATAGTACAGCACATGCAGGCACCTAATACCCGTTTCCGAGTGCACGCAACATAGCTTTGAAGTTATGTGAAGATATAACTATGTCTATATTCCTATGCCTATAATACATACCTATTGGGATAAATTTACATAAACATGTATAACACAAGCCCGATTATACATTCTAAGATTTTGTGAAACTAACAATAAGATGGGTCCAATAATAGTGAGCCCACCAAAGTAGGATAACATTCTCTAATTAAAAATTCTCACAGGAGAGAATCCCAATCCAGTCCAAATTAAAGATTAACAAGGGCAAGGGAAGAGAGACAAAGATTCTATTAATCCTTTCCCACTAACAATACACTTATCTGTGAAAAAGGAAGTTAGTAGTTGGGTTGGGTTGGGTTGGGTTGGGTTGGGTTTAATGCCTCTGGGTTGTTTTTTTGGAGGGTGGAAGGTTGGGTTTCATTCTAAAAACCACACCTTGGGCTTAATTCTGCAGTCTTACCAAATGGACCCTTTTGTTTTGTTGTCTTGACACATAAATCTCAATGCCACTACCACCCTACGGTTTCCAAAAACTATTTTCAAATTTTCTTTTTAATTTAATAAAAACAACTTATGTTTGAGGAAACATCATAAAATTGTTTTCAAACTTTTAAAGACTATTTCGTACAAAAATAAAACGATATGAAAATGATGGGAGTTTTTTACCTTTGCATTATTTTTGTTTATGAAAATATGAAAACAAAAACAATACCGAACGAACCACCGATTTAGAAATAGTGGGGTCAGGTTCAAGCTATAGCAATATATATATATACAGGCAACATTATGATCATAATCAATGTTAGGACTAGTTTGGGTTTGAGTTCTTATGATCTACCCATGCTTGGGTTGACGTGGTGAGGCAGACTTTTGGGCCTTTCTTTCTTAGATGTGGAAAATTCATGAGATTACTGACAAAGGGGATCAAATTTCTCCTCAGAAAGCGACGTGTTAGATATTTGTCCCATATTGCTATTATAAGCGTTAATTTATTTCAGATAATCTAGAGGCCTCTCCAATTATTATCAATTAATTTTACACTAGATGCCTCGAATAAACAATAGAATTGCGGTTTTTTTATTTATTTATAATTTTCATGAAAAGTACA